CATGGCCATTTTCAAATAACATGGTGTCACTGAACATGGAGTTGGGAAAAGTTGATAGAGGTACATCATTCCAACTCAATCATACTGATCCAGTAGCAACAAATGATAATGAAACTTGGTCACAGCAGAATCTAACACAACACCATAAAGCAATTATCCTTCAACTTAAATATTTTAACCATCCCTCCCCCAAAAACATAGTAAACTTACTATGAAGGTACAAGTTCTGAACATTTGTGTAAGGTGTAACCCCTGGGTGGAGGAAATGGCAACCCACTCCAGTACTCTTGCCTGAAAAATCCCATGGGCAGAGAAGCCTGGCAGGCTACCATCCGGGGGCTTGTAAACAGTTAGATACAACTGAACACACACATAAGGTATACCTGACTGAACATACAGAATGCATGTATTTAGGATGTACCTTTTTATGTTTTAATACATAACTTTTACCCAGAAAATCAATATTTTCATTGGAAACAAAAGATAATCTATAATGCCCTTACTCAGTCAATTTAAATACTTCAGTGCTTTAAAAAATAAACAGAGCAAGAAAGATATTTAAAATAAAGGCAATTCTTGGGGGGGGGGGCAACAACTGAACTTTGAGGATGTTTTCCTCAGAAAAGATCAAAAGAATGCACATTAATTAAAAATCGAAATGCAGGGATTTCCCTGGTGGTCCAGGGGCTGGGATGCAATGCTTCCAATGTAGGGGACCCAGATTCAATCCCTGAACAGGGAACTAGATCCCATATGCCACAACTAAGACCAAGCACCACCAAATAAAATTAATTAATTTAAAAAAATTGGGATGCAGTTTCTGGCAGTTTACTTTGGAGTCAAAACTATACTCTTCAGTGTGAATGCTCTGGAAGTTTGTGTCTTTGCTCTTTGTTGACAGAAAATTCATGAGTAAATCATAATTTATAATGATTAGAGCTCTGTGTTTGGGAATTTCAATAAATTTGAAAACGGAGCATACTTACAGTTTGTTATGCTCTAGCATTCTCAGTATTATCATCTGTATTTAAGAGAAGCAAATTTTATCCCCTAATTTGTAGTTATCCAGTACAATTAAACTAGGACTGTTTTTCTGTCACATTTCAGGTTCCATATTTCATACATTCTATAACAACATGTCCACTAAAGTTTTGGGAAAAGAGCTGCCCATTATTCAGTTACAGGGTTAGACTTTTTTTCCTGACCACACTGTGACCCCTGCTTTGGGAACATGGAGTCTTAATCACCAAACCACCAATTTTTGCAGGCATCTGGTAGGGGCTAAAACAGCAGTATGGGAATGAATCAAACAGGAGTTTGATCTGATAACCAGGAGGTCAGATCGATAGAGTGAGAAAAGATATATGTAAAAGAAAAGATGTATGTAATTAAGTGAATCTGAATGTTTCTGGAAGGATCTACAGCCATAAATGTTTCCTTCCAGATTTATACAAGTGGATTGGAAACTGTTTGTGTTAAATTTATCTTCATATCTATTCTTGCCTGGAGAATTCCATGGATAGAGAAGCTTGGCAGGCTATAGTCCATAGGGTCACAGAGTTGGACAGAACTGAGTGACGTAACACTTTCACATGTATGTACATGAACAGGAAATAACTAGTCTGCAAAATAGTAATAATTAATTAAATGAGAAAACAGGCCAGAAATAATTTTGAAGATGTATCAAAAAGATATGTTGGGACTTTCCTGGTGGCCTATGGTTAGAAACTGCCTTCAATGTAGAGGATGTAGGTTCAATTCATGGGAGGGGAACTAAGATCCTACATGCCATGGCGCAACTACACCCCTGCCCACCTCAACTATAGTGCTGCAAACTAGAGCCCACACGTGCTCTGGAGCCTGAATGCCCCAAGGAAGATCCTGTGTGCCACAACAGGACCCAACAGAGCCAAGATTGAATTTTTAAAAAAATATATGTTTAACATACAAATCATGTTCATTAACTTGAAGTGATAAGTAACCAATTTTTACATCTGAGACACTATCACAAAGTGTCCTAGGAGGAACAGCATCTCATGGTGACTTATTGATATCCTGGTTCCATCCACTGAGATCCCTATAGCTCACTCATAATTGAAATGAACGTGCTATTCAATCTTCATATGCCTATTTCAAGAGCCTCTTCTTCACCTACACAGGAACTCAGTACAATACACCTTTACTTAGTTTCCCATGGGATACCTCAAAGGTTCAGGTATCACATACAACCTCACTGAACAAGAACATTATTGGACCCATCTGTGCTCAGGCACCCAATTATGGAGCTTCATTGATGACATACCCTTGTGAGGGGATTTGCAAGACATTTTTCCAAGACATACATTCATCGTTGTGCTTACAGACAACTGATGGGCTATGGCCCCACACATTTCAGTGTCATGCCAGCACAGTAAGTTTCTTAGCTCCATCCAGTATTTGTATGGGCTACTCTACTGCTGATGTGGTTAAAGGGCAACTTCTGATTCTGTCAGCTTCCATCAGTTTCAGAGGGGCCAAACCTATTGGATCTTTCTGACTTTTAGAGGCAAGATATTCTGCATTGATGACTAAGGCTTATTTATGCAGTCACTCAAAGATCATCCCACTTTGGGGCCTTTATAAGAAAAAGTCCTAGTCAGTTCAGATGGCCAGCCATTCAACAGATACTTTTTTCTGGCTGTGCCACACAGCATGCAGGATCTTCGTTCCTTCAACGAGGGATCAAACCTGCACTTCCTGCATTGGGTACATGGAGTCTTAACCATTGGACCGTGAGGAAAGTCCCTAACAGGCACTTATTTTGCTACCTCCTGGAGACTCCTTGGTCAAAGCTCTGCACACACCTACTATGCTCTGCAGTCTCTGGGCCCATGATGGCAGTAAGCTACCCAGGGTCTTCTGGTACCAAGTGTTGCCTGTTTCAATGTCACGACATGCCATGTGAGCAACAACTGCTGGATGCTTACTCAACCCTCTCATAAAGGAAGGCTTTCACAGGACCTGAACCTGTGACACTCTGTACCCAGTTACCTTATTTTCTCGGTTATTAAGCAACACAATACCCAGTAAACAGTGCAACAGCAAGGCCTTGATACATGACAGAGTGGGAACACTTGCAGGAAGAGGTGGCCTTGGTCCTGTCTCTTGCCAAAGTCACAGTACTCAAGGACAGCACTCCTCTCCTTGATGCTTGGGTACTTGGGCATACACTTGGGATCAATCAGAAGACTCTTGGGAGGGAGTCCTTTGGACTGCAAGATCAAACCAGTCAATCCTAAAGGAAATGAACCCTGAATATTCACTGGAAGGATTGATGCTGAAGCTGAAGCTCCAATACTTTGGACATTGGATGCAAAGAGCTGACTCACTGGAAAAGACCCTCATTCTGGGAAAGACTGAAGGCAAGAGGAGAATGGGGGCGGGGTGCAGAGGATAAGATGGTTAGATAGCATCACCAACTCAATGAATACGAATTTGAGCAAACTCTGGGAGATTGTGGAGGACAGAGGAAGCTGGCACGGGGTGGCAAAGAGTGGGAAATGACTTGGTCACTGAACAACAAATTAACAATGGGAGATCACACAATTTACAGTAATGCCACCAGTACATGTATACATGTGATGGAGCTTTCTGGAGGGCTCCATTCAGAAAAATTTGGATACAGTTCCTGTCATGTCTGACAGATACTCTCTCAGATGTTAGATGCAGATGTATTTGGCTTTTCTTAACTGGATGCTACTGTTTGGGCGTCATGATCTGGACTAGAGGGTACATGATCTCTGTCCTTCAAAGACAAGCAGCAGGTCCAACACATTCACAGCAACAGAATTTCCCCAGACCTTCCCATGATGCCAGAGCCACACATGCCATCCTGATCCTGGTGAGCTTTCTCAACTGTTTTTACTCTCTTCCATTTCGACTTCCTGTGGCTATGATTCTAAATCCATGCGAGTGACTGATGGACACTGTGCTACTAGCTTCCTTCACGTTTCCCAGCTTCCCGCTCCTCTGTGCTCATCAGCAGTGATACTTGTTTCTCTAAGTTCTTTGCCTTCTGCACCAGAGACAAATGCTTTTCCTACTCTTGTAAAACATCTGTAAGTTTTCTCTCATTTTGGCATTTGGATCAATTACTCATTTTTTTTAAATTAATTTTTATTCTTTTCTGCTACATCCTGGGGTAAAATGGTTAAGGAGTATATTCCTGCCTTCTATTGCTAAGAGTGAAAAACTTAAGTTATATGGTAATTAATTAACCTAATTAGGCTTCATTATCTAGTAGGGTGCCCTGGGAAAACGGAAAGAAACATCAAACTGGGAGATACAATTTGTTACCATGTGCTTGTTTACACCACAGGGACAGGATCCACTTTGCTCCCCCACCAGACACCTCCCATTCAGGAATGTTTATGAAATGAAGGAAATTCATCTCAGGTAGGCCACTGACTCAAATAGCTGCAAGCCCTGACTGGCATTTTTATTTTTAGTCCCCATGGCCATATCAGTAGCCAGAAAGGTCATGGCCAAAGTGACATGGCACATGCGGTTAAGCAGCCAAGTGACTATTTCTTTCTCATAGCAAAATATACTAGCTCCTCATGTGATACTCAAATTTGTCCTGCTTCTCTGTGAAAACAAACTTAACAATCAAGGGCCACACATCCTCCACATGGCTGAACACCCCTGGAGGCAATGTTTCTCTTCCTTCATCATCACAGCACCAGGCACCAGGCACCAGGCAACTAGAGGCCACTCCTATAGCATGAAGTCCAAAGTTATTCAAAGCAAGCAATCCTAAGGTGTTTACCCCACTCTGCCAGGCCCTTCCCATAGAACCTTAGCAGACAGTGGTCTGAACACTTCCCACTCCTGCCTTATGTCTCATGACTACCCTGATAACTTTCCCATGTGTTTCCAGGATCTGTGAGCATCAATGTTTTCCAGTTGTTTTTTTCTTATAGCCACACCTGACTGATCATCTCAAAAACAATACAAATCACTTTCATAGAAACTCCCTTTATTAAATGTCTGGTGGTCTGTACCATCCAGAAAATACAATGTTAACAATTCTCTCTGGAAAATTCACCTGTTTATTTTTAAATTTTTTTTAATTTTTAAATTTTTTTATTTTTAATTGCAGATTTATATTATACTAGTTTCAGGTGTACAGCACAGTGATTCAGTATTTTACAGATTATACTCCACCAAATGTTATTATACAATAATGGTTATAATTCTTTATCTGATACAATATAAACTTGTTGCTGTTTTATAAATAGTTTTTAATCTCTTAATCCCATACACATCATTTGTCCTATCACACTTCTGTCCTTTGATAACCATTAGTTTGTTTTCTATATCTGTGTAGTTGCTAAGTCATGTCTAACTTTTTGAGACCCCATGGACTGTAGCCTGCCAGGCTTCCCTGTCCACGGGATTCTCCAGGCAAGAATACTGGAGTGGGTTGCCATTTCCTCTCCAGAGGATCATCCTGACCCAGGATTGAACCCACATCTCCTGCATTGGCAGGCAGGTTCTTTATCAGTGAGCCACCAGTGAGGCCCCTAAACCTGAGTTTGTTTCTGTTTTGCATGTGTATTATTTTGTATTGTTTTAAAATTGCACATGAGATATCATACAGTATCATACAAGTCTCTTCTTCACTCCTGGCTGTGCTAAACCCAGTGCAATGCTGTGGGACGGAGGTGCTGGGAACAGAGCATTACTAGGTAGATAATGGGATCATTCATTCACAGGAAAGCCATGAATGTTGCTTTTCAGTGGATAGTCATGACCACTGAGCATGGAGCGCAGTGTATGAGCAGGACTCTTGAGGAGGAGGGCAGGGACAGAGGATGGATTAGGTCTTCTTTGAGTTCCCAAAGCTGGGTTGGAAAGGAAAGAAGATTACAGTGACCAGACTCCTCTTGTTCTGAAAACAGGCAACCTGACACTGAATCCTGAATATCCGTCCATTGCTGGGAGGTAATAATTAGAAAACACAGCCTCTCTGTGCCTCAAATTCCTCCCTAGAAATAGTCCATTTGCTGCCTGATGACTGCACTTGCGGCCTCCCAGGCTGTTACCCACCCCCAACTCCAACGCTAGTGCTGTCCTCATCAGCTGCATTCATAAGTCCCCTTCTCCAGTGTGAACTCTCTGATAACCAAATAGACCTGATCCACTGTTAAGATTTCCCATATTCACTGCACCAAAAGGCCTTTCTCCAGTGTGAATTCTCTGATGATCAAAAAGACTGGACTTATTAATAAAAGATTTCCTGCATTCACTGCACTCATAAGTCCTTTCTCCACTGTGAACTCTGATGATACTGAAGGCCAGAGCTAGCAGTAGATTTCCCACATTGACTGAACTTATAAGGTTTTTCTCAATGGTGAACTCTCTGATGATACCGAAGGCCATAGCTAGCAGTAAAAGATTTCCCACATTTACTGCACTCATAAGGTTTTTCTCCACTGTGAACTCTCTGGTGATACCGAAGGCTAGAGCTAGCAGTAAAAGATTTCCCACATTCACTACACTCATAAGGTTTTTCTCCACTGTGAACTCTCTGATGATACCGAAGGCCATAGCTAGCAGTAAAAGATTTCCCACATTCACTGCACTCATAAGGCCTTTTTCCATTGTGAACTCTCTGATGACGAAGAAGGCTCGAACTGCTAGTAAAACATTTTCCACACTCATTGCACTTATAAGGCCTTTCTTCAGTGTGAACTCTCTGATGATTGCGAAGGCTCAACCTAACAATGAAAGATTTCCCACATTCACTGCACTCATGAGGCCTTTCTCCACTGTGAATTCTCTGATGATACCAAAGGCTAGAGCTAGCAGTAAAAGATTTCCCACATTCACTGCACTCATAAGGCTTTTCTCCAGTGTGGATTTTCCTACTGGAACTGAGTTGGTGCATTTGATTAAAGGATGTCCCAGAGTCACTGCCCTTATACAGCACTTCCCCGTTGTGAACTTTCTGATGGTATCGGATGCCAGCCAGAGTTATAAAAGATTTCCCACATACATTACATGTATAAGGCCTTTCTCCTTTGTGAATTCTCTGATGTCTATGGAAATTGGAGTTGTTGATAAAAGACTTCCCACATTCATTGCACTTATAAGGCCTTTCTCCAGTGTGAATTCTTTGATGTACATAGAAAGAGGATTGATGGGTAAAACATTTTCCACATTGAGTGCATTCATATGGCCTTTCTCCAGTATGAATTCTCTGATGTCCAATGAAACGGTTCTTATAGGTAAAAGATTTATCACATTCCTTGCACTGATAAGGCCTTTCTCCAGTGTGGATTCGCCTATGGATCCTGAGATACTTTCTTTGGCCAAAGGATTTCCCACATTCAGTGCACTCGGAAGACCTTTGTCTAATGTGACCTTTCTGGTGCTGAACATGGTTACTTTTGTGAGTGCCGCCTGTGAACTCAGAAGACCGTTCACTAGTGAGGATTCTCTCATCTTGAACAAGTATGTCTGTGCAGCTGGAGGCTTTCTTGCCTTCTCCCCAGCTCTGATGACTTTTTCCACTGTGAAAAACAGCTTCACACGCCTTACTGTTGTTTTGACTCCTGGTGGTTTTGGTCTGTGGCTGAACTCCCATGTTGGCCACGAATTCCTTCCCAATCTCACTGTATGGGGAGAGACTTCCTGATGCATGGATTGTGCAGCTCTTCAAAACTGAGAGTTTCCCCTTAATATATTGTAAAAGATTCTCTCTCGTGTGCTGCTTCTGGTGCTGCTGAATGTCTGCAGTGAAACAGAACTGTTTTCCATGTGTCCCACATGAGTATGCTTTCTGTCCACTATTTGTTCCCTGCTCTTCAGTCAAGTGCAAAATGTTTCTCAAGACCAGGATGCATATCTTACAGGGCTGGACCTTCTCAGCAGACGAATCTGCCCTGGGAGTCCCAATCTGGGACACTCCTACAGATCTGCTCTGTTCAAAAGGTGTCTCTTCATCCCCAGCTCCAGGCCAAGAACCTGAAAACAATAGTGAAGTCCATATTGAGTTTAGTATAGGGAAATGACACCGTCACAACTGTACATCTGACACTTGAAAGAATGAGTCCACAAGACTGTGTTCAGGAAATGGAGTTAGGGTCAGACTGAGGAAGCAGCTGGTCTGTGTTACAGGGCTTTAAGGTCACAGAATAGATGAGGTCTCAAAACATAGGATGCAAGGACTGGGTATGGAGAAAGGGTGAAAGGCCTTTTCTATAGTTCACTCTTATCAATAGCTTCTGCCTAGACCACAATAGCTGGTGACCTTTTCTCTGCAGAACTGTATGTCCAGGTCTCAGAAAATCTAACTGGAACAGGTACCTGGTGTTTAAGGAATATTAAGGGATAGTCCCTTGTTTCAGGACATAAACAGTGTCAGAAAAATACTCTGGAGAAAACACTGTGAAGACCAATGAAATAAACAGTTTAGAGAGGTGGTAGGGAAATAATCCCAGGCTGGAGTCAGAATGAAAATGACAGGTAGGACTTCCCTCGTGGCACAGTGGTAAGAATCCACCTGCCAATGGAGGGGACATGGATTTGAGGCTGGGTCTGCAACAATTCCACATGCTGTGCAGCAACTAATACCATGCACAGCTACTGAGCCTGTGTGCTACAACTACTGAAACTTGCAGGCCTAGAGCCCATGCTCTGCAATGAGAGAAGCTACCACAATGAGAAGCCCGCGAACCACAACAAAGAGTAGCCCCCACTTGCCACAACTATAGAAAGCACTTGCAAAGCAATGAGGATCCAGCCAAAAATAAAATAAATGGATAAATAAATAATGAGAAGTAGAAGAAATTGCAAGTTGGTAGTGTCAAGAATGGAGAGAAGACTATAGAAATAACTTGCGGCCACTGGTAATCACACTAAAAGCACTAGTCAAACAGGACAGGTTCCTGGAATGACTTGAACACAGACCAGATATTAAGCTATACCAGCTGCCATTCAACTTGGCCAGGCTAACTGCAAGTGCTTTGTGCTGAGACCAGAGTCATGTCCATCCTTTGAAGCATGAAGGACTGTCCACTCTCAGTTCAACAACTACATGGAAGGCAAATGATACAACTCTTAATAGAACAGCAGGTCAGGTGAGTGGCCAACACCAGCCCAGAAGAACTCAGCACACAAAAAGGGACAATATTTAAATACTGCAAAAAGAAGCTCTGATGGAACCAGATGAAAGGATGTGCAGCAGATGGAATACAAAATGTTAAGATTCCATCTCCTTGCCTTAACAATAACTGTGCTGACAGAATCCAATAAATGTAGCTCTCGGAACTCAAATCTATTGAAGATCTGCAGTTTTCCAAGTTAAATTTATTTCAGTCAAGTTCAGCTCTAAGGCTCTGGAGCTGCCCATTCCCCAACCCAAAGTCCCATGGCAGGCTACTGTGTACATGTTTCTAGAGCAGACTGTACATGCTTTTTATGAGCCAGCGTGGAAAATAAGGAAGGACCTAGTTAGTCCTCCAGATGTCAGTGATCTAATATAGTCTGACTGCTGGCTGCTGCTCCTGAATGCATGTGAGTAATACAGAGATGGACACTCATTGCTGTTAAATGGTACCACTGATACATAAATCTCCTCTCCCTCTGACTGAAGATTTTAAGAGCCAGTGTCTCACCGCCTCCTCTTCATTTTTCTGTTTTTTCCCTTTTGAGAGTGACACATTTGAGGACTAAGGCAATCAAGAGCAAACACTGGGCTTCCCTGGTGGCTCAGTGATGAAGAATCCGCCTGTCAATGCAGAAGACACAGGTTCAATCTCCTGCCTGGGAAGATCCCACATGCTGTGGAGCAACTATGTGCATGTGCCACAACTACTGAGCCTGTTCTCTAGAGCCTGGCAGCCGCAACTACTGAGCCTACATGCCGCAATTACTGAAGGCCACACACCCTTGAGCCTGTGCTCTGCAACGAGAAGCCACAGCAATGAGAAGCCCACGCACTACTAGAGTGCAGCCCCTGCTCACAACAACTAGAAAAAAGCCTATGTATCAATGAAGACCTGGCATAGACAATAAATGAATAATAAAAAAAATCATAAAAGACAACCACTTATATTGTGGAAATTTAAGTCATGGTGCACCCCCAAGGAAAAGCACACTGAGAGGCCTGTCAGTTTACATCTCATGTCAATATACAGGAAAGAGACACTCTAAAAACATCAAAAACAAGGAGAACCCCCCACCCAGCAAACCCTGGTTAATAGCAAGCACAGTATCTCCAGACTTACAACCATAAAATGCCAATGTTCAGTTTTCAACGACAAAAACTCACAAGGCATACAAAGAAGTGGCTGTCTTTTATGATTTTTTTTTTATTATTCATTTATTGTCTGTGCAGAGTAAACGAAAAGACCCACATTGTGGCACATTATAATCAAACTGCTGAAACTCAGAGAATCTCAGAGAATCTTGAAATCAGTGAGAGAAGTGACTCATTACAGACAAAGGGTCCCAAACAATATCATTAGCAGATTTCTCATGGGAAACCTGGGAAGGCCAGAAGACAGTGGGCTGATATGTTCAGAGATGGCTGAAGTGAAAAAAACCTGCCAACCAAGATTCCTTCAAAAATGAAGGAGAAATTAGCATATTCCCAGGTAAACAAAAGATGAGGAAGTTCAAGAAATGCTAAAGGGAGTCCTTCAAGTTGAACTGAAAAGACACTAACGAGTAAAATGATATAGACAAAGCTGTAGAGAAGCAGAAAAAAAATTTTTTTTGGCCTGCCAGCAAGGCTCTCAGTATTTTAGTTCCAGACCATGGATTGAACCCAGGCCCATGGCAGTGAGACTGCAGAGTCCTAACCACTGGACCACCAGGGAATTCCCAGAATTTTTTTAATGTTATTGATGGTAAGCTGGTATAAATTAAAATTAATAGGCTCTAGCTTTAGGATATTAAATGTAATCCCCATGGTAAATAGCAAAAAAAAAGTTTTATAATGTACACAAAGGAAATGAAAAGGGAATTAAGATACTTCACTACAAAAAAAAAAAAATCAACTAAATACAAAAGGAGAAAATAACAAAAAGTAAGGACTGACAAAGCTTCAAAGCGTATATAGAAAACAAAGAGCAAGACGAAAAAAAAAACCTCTCATCAATAACTGCTTTAAAGTAAATAGATTAACCTCTCAGAGCAAAACACAGACTGGCAGAAACAGATTTAAAAAAACGATCTAGCAAACTCCCTGGCAGTCCAGTAGTTAGGATTCTGCACTTTAACTGCTGAGGGCATGGGTTCAATCCCTAGCCACAGAAGGAAGAATTCACAGGCTGAGTGGCACAATCCAAGATAACAACAACAACTGTATGCCGTTGACAAAACACAAGTTGAAACTGAAATGCAGATAAAGACATTTCATGCAAATAGTAACAAAAAGCACACAGGAGTAGCTATAAATCATACCAAACAATAAAGATTTTAAATCTAAAAAGACTATGAAGGACATTTATTTTGAGAAGATTCAATGTAACATGAGGCAATAAGTATAAATATTCACACGCTCCATAGCAGATCACTGAAATACATGAAGCAAAAACTAACAATCAAAAGGAGAAACAGACAGTTCTACACTAATATTTGGAAACTTCAATACTCTATTCTCAGTAATGGATAGGAACAATAGATTTAATTACATAAAGTTTATACCAACTAGCCTCTCTAACCACAACAGAATGAAGATCCATAACATAACATGGAAAACTGAAATATCTACAAATTTCTGGAAATAAATAGGTTCAAGAAAATAATCACAAGGGAAATCAGAGAATATTTAATAGACTAATGAAAACAAAACACCACATACTAAAACTACAGGATGCAGCAAAGGCAGTACTAAGGAGAACATTTACAGCAAAAAAAAGCTTATATCAAAAAAAGAAATCTCGGGTGGGAGGGGGGATCACGATGGGGAACACATGTAAATCCATGGCTGATTCATGTCAATGTATGGCAAAAACCACTACAATATTATAAAATAATTAGCCTCCAACTAGTAAAAATAAATGAAAATATACATATATTTTAAAAAATCATAATCTATCTTGACAACTTGATAAACTACCAAAAAAAAACACAAAACCCAAATTAAATAGACAAAGCATTCTGAAAAAGGAAATGATAAAGATCAGACAAATAAAATAGCCAGGACATTCTGTTCTTCTTAAGGTTAACTGACAAGAAAAGAAAGTGAAAGAAAGTGAAGTCGCTCAGTTGTGTCGGACTCTTTGTGACCCCGTGGACTGTAGCCCACCAGGCTCCTCCATCCATGGGATTCTCCAGGCAAGAATACTTGAGTGGGTTGCCATTTCCTTCTCCAGGGGATCTTCCTGACCCAGGTTTCAAACCCGGGTCTCCTACATTGGAGGCAGACACTTTAACCTCTGAGTCACCAGGGAAGCCCAACTGACAAGAAAAACAAGTGCTCAATTCCAGCCCTCTCTACACATTGGTGTCCCACCCAATGGAAGGAAAATAAATTGAAAGTAACTTGTGAAGTTCATAGTCCAGACACACAAGCTCATTAAAAGACTGATAAGTAAACATGCTATGAATGCTTCCAGTACTGTGCAGGCTTCCCTTCTCCACAGCTTACCAACACATGAATAAACGCCTATTTATAGCGGTTCCTTTTACCCCATACATCATGCCAGTTATCAAGAAAAAATTACACAGCATACTAAATGGCGAAAAGCAATATGAACAAAGGAAACTTCAAAACCAGAATCAGCTATCACAAGGATGTTGTAATTACCAGACTGGAAATACAAAACAAGTATGATATATATGCTGATTAATGTTTGGTAGAGTTGGGAGTTTGTGATGGACAGGAAGTCTGGCCACATGTTGCAGTCCACAGGGTCGCAAAGAGTTGGACATTTGAGAAATGGAAATTCAAAGAAAGAACTCAAAATTCTAGAAGTCAAAAGACTATAAAAGACATGAAGAATGAATATGATGGGCTTATTGATACACTGGACACAGCTGAGGAAAGAATCTCTGTGCTTGATGTTCTCTTTGTAGAAATTTCCAAAACTGAAAAGCAAAGAGAAAAACGAAAGAAAGAAATGCAAATCAAAACTACAATGAGGTACCACCTCACACCAGGCAGAATGGCCATTTATTAAGAAGTCTACAGGGGCTTCCCTGCTGGTCCAATGGCTAAGACTCCATGCTCCCTTGCTTACCAAAAAAAAAGAGAAAAAAGAAAAAAAGAAACCTTCATGCTCCCAATGCAGGGGGCCCAGATTCCATCCCTGGTCAGGGAATTAAGATTCCACAAGCTCCAGATAAGAGTTTGCATGTAGCACCTAAAAGCTCCCAGGTATCCCAAGTAAGACCCAGAAGAGCCAAATAAATACTTACATACACACATATTAAAAACAAAAGTCTACAAATAACAAATGCTGTTGGTGTAGCCATTATGAAAAACAGCATAGATGTTTCTCAAAAAGTTAAAAGTAATGTTGCCATTATGAGCCATCAATCTAATTCCTGAGCATATATCCAGCCAAAAATTATAATTCAAAAAGAGATAGACTCATATGTTCACAGCAGTCTAGTCAGGCTCATGAAGATAAAAACAGAGAACACAAATTAATAACATAAAAACTTCAAAATAAAACATAACTGTAGATACCATGGAGAGTAAAAGAATAATAATGAAAAATACGAGCAATCTCTAACCCCATGAATTTGATCACCTAGAGGCAAGATCAATTCCCTGAAAGACAGTCTACCAAAACCCACACAATAGATAATCTGAATAGGTTCTTTAATTGATACATTAAAGAAAATGAGTCAAAAAAAAGAAAATGAATCAAGGGGGCTCACTGGGGTTCCAATGGTTAAGCTCTGTGCTTCCACTGCATGGGGCATGCATTCAATTCCTGGTCAGGGACTAAGATCCTCCATGCTATGCATTGTGGCCAAAAAGAAAAAATGAATCAATAATTAATAACCTCCCAAAAAAGAATCTAACTGGCTCAGAGTGTTTCACTGCTGAATTCTTCCAAACATGTAATTAGAGAATGTATTATACAATTATCTACAATCTCTTTCAGAAGATAGAAACAAAGGGATACCTCCCAACTCATTCTGTGAGGCTAGTATTACTTTAATACCAAACCAAAAACATTAAAAGAAAACTATAGAATAATATCTCTCATGAACATACACACAAAAAATTTAACAACTTTTAAAAATCGATTAAAACACTGTATAAAAAGAATTATATACCATGATCAACTGAGCAAGTCAAACTGGTTTAACATTTGAAAGTCAGTTAACATAATACCTATCAATACTTAAAAACACAATCTCATCAATTGATGCAGAAAAAGGACTTTACAAAATCCAACCTGCATTTATGATATATTAAAAAAATACATCTACTAGTAAACTTAGAGGAAAAACTTCAAATTGATAACCTCAATAAAACCCTCCAGCTATCATTATGCTTATTAGAGAAAAACTAGCTTTCCCACTAAGATGAATAAGAAGGAAGGGTGTTCTCTCTTACCACTCCTTTTCAAATTTTTATTGGAAGACAACTAATACAATGAGACGAGAAGTTTATAAAAAAGGTATATTGATTGGTATCAAGTTATATAAGTTCTTGTATTTTGGAATATTTACCCTTTAAATATATGGCTTGCAAATATTTTCTCCCATTAGGTAGGTTATCCTTTGATTTTGTTGATAGTTTCTTTTGCTGTTTAGAAGCTTTTTAGTTTAACTAGGAAAAGGTGTACTGATTGGGAAGGAAGGAAAATTGTCTTCACTCTCAGATGACATGATCAGGTACATCAAAAACCCCCAATATAGACATCCTGCCAAAAATATCCTAGAACTAAGAAGTAATTACAGGCCATTCTCCCCTTCTGAGATGGCCCACATTCTGTGTGTATCTCTCTAAATAAGCCTGCTTTCACTAAAGAACAACAAAGTTTTCAGGATACAAAGTTACACTATAAAAACCAATCAATGACCTACATACCAGCCCCACAAAAAACTGAAATTTGAGGCTAAAAACTCAATACCATGTACATTAGTACTAAAAAAGAGAGAAAGAAAGTGATAGTTATAAATCTACCAAGATATGTACAAAGGGCAAAAGCTTCAAAATGTTGAATTTGGGCATGATTTCTTGTCTATGACAACAAAAGCACAAGCAACAAAATAATAAACGATACTGGACCTCAAAAAAATGAACACTTTTTTTTTGTTGGTTTCATACCTTTAACTTAATGTCATCTGTCAGTTATACCTCAAGAAAGGTATAGGGAAAAAGGAAAAAACTGACCTATTGTACATCACAGGGAACTATAATCATAGTAAAAAGGCAACCACAGAGTACAACAAGGAATTTATATCTAGAATATATGGAGGAAGTCTAGAACTCAACAACTAAAAAACTAATCTGATGAAAAAAAATGGGAAAGGGACCTGAATAGATATTTTTAAAAGATATACACAGGAATTCCCTGACATTAGAGTGGTTGAGACTCTACACATTCACAAACATAGGCCCAGGTTCAATCCCTGGTTGGAGAACTAAGATCCCAGAAGTTAATGTGGTTTGAACAACAACAACAAAAAATATACAAATGGCCAATAAGCAGACCATAATGGAAATGCAATGGAAACAATAAAGATATACCACTACACATCCATTAGATGGTAATCATCAAAAGACAGAAAATAAAGCTGCAGGCATGTATGTAGGGAAACTGGAACCTTGGAAAAGGTTGTGGGAAGAATAGCTCACCATCTGTTTAGCAGTGCCCATGTCAGTGACAACACTCTTCTGTACAGACAGGCACAAATAAATGTCAGATACATGGTGACCATGGTCCACATGTAAGAAAGACAGAGCTGTCCCTGGGGAAAAGAAGAAAGGCAGAGCCTAGCTCAAGAGGATAGAGGAGGGAGTGCGCGCCTTACCCAGCATGCATACAAGTGCAAAGTTCTCCAACATGACATCAAGGTACAGTTGTATCTGAGCCTCATCAAGAAGACACCATTCTTCCTGGGAGAAGTACACGGCTACATCCTCAAAGGTCACACGGCTCTGGTATAATAGAGACAAATAAAAATCATGAATAGTCTCACACCTTCCATCTTCTCACACATCTCCCCTACTGTCCAACCTGATGGATTCTCCTGACTTGGGAAAGAAAAACTCCCTCCCCTGATCTGAACTTCCTGTTGCCTCGGGAACACACAGGCATTTAATTTCAAGTTGAAATTCTGCTCTTCCCTGTTGTTTATTTCCACCAGAAAAAAAAAGACCCGCACTTACCTTAACCAGCTTAGCCTCACCTCAAAGCACTTTGATATACTAATATGGGTTTCACTGTTCCATACTTCCTCCAAGAACCAGTGTGCACTCACTACCTCAGGCACAGGGTTGCCAAAGTCCCCAAACCGAAGTGTTGGGAGAATGGCAGGTTAAGAGCCCCAAGACCCTCCTCAAATACAGAAAATGTGTGCGTGAGAGTGTGAACAAGTAAGGGACTGGGACAGCCTCCATTTACTAAATGTTCTTCTGCAGCTGTGGGAATCTGTGGGAACATGCAGACCACAGAGGAAAGTGACCAGGGCAGTGCTCCAGAGGCTCAGGACTTGCCAGGGCAGCTGCCTGGTACCATAGCCAGATAACCTCAGGCTGACTGGCTAACATCTCCTGTGTGACTCCATCCTCAGTACTACCTTTTATCAGCTGTGAGCTTTGAGAAGCCACACTTTCCATTGCTCAAGTCCTCATCAACAGCTACAGACTTTTCTTCCACTGAACAGGCCTTGGAGAACTTTTAAAAGCCCAGAGATCATGTGCTTCCTTTACTCAAAACTCTCCAGTACTCCCAGCACCCTAAGAAGAAAGGTACAACCTCCCATCTGCCACTCCAGGTGCAGCCTGGCCTCGAACTTTGTTTTTTGAAAAAACAGGATGGACTCAAGGTTCCCCAATGTTCCTGGTTCAGTTGCATCTCCAAGCCTCACCCACACCACACTACACCTGTGGTCAGAAAGAGGTACACCACCCCTGAAGGCCTCACTGCACTAGGCCAGGCGCATGAGATAAAGTGTGAAAAACGGGACATTTCTTGCCATATCGGTAAACAAAAAAGATGTCACAGTGATCAGCGATTGCAGCCCTCTAGTGTGAGTCAGTGAGCCCTAAGGGAATTCAGGAAGGAGAATACCTGCCATTTAACAGCCAGCAGACTAGTCACTCTTATGCTGAGTCCCGAGAAACTCAGGATATGAAAACAGAGGATACTCGCCCCAGCTAGCCGAGGTGCATATCAAAGGAGTTGTGGAGCCCTATACTGAGATGATAAGACAATATCTCCAAAATTAGCGAAGCTCGAGGGCAACCATTGTCATGTTTGTTATGAGCTGTTCTGTTCCTAACTAGCCAGCTCCAGCCTCCATATGACATAACAAACAGAATCCTGACTAATGACCTAACATACCCCTCTCCACAGGAATTTTCTTTTCATTGAGGTTATAAACAGTCCGCAAGCCCTTGAGCCACCCACTGTTCTGACAGTCTCCTGGCGGCTCTCCCTGGTCAGTTAGGAAGTCCGCCCTCTGTCTTTGCAGCGCCCCTCTCTACCTCTCCCCTTTGTTCTCAATAAATTCGCTCTAGTCAAAAATGCTGTGTGTCTGGAAATTCTTTTTCAACTAGAGCTCAGACTGCCAAGACAGAAATGATTTCAGTGAGCCCAGACTCTCACATCTTTCCATACACAGAAAAGTGCTTAATTCCTTAACCTGGGTTATCTGACTTTCCTTAACAATAATCTTTTGATGTTCAAACACTTGCCCTTTGTTGCAAAACTTATATATAAGCTGGCTTTGTTAGGGGAAGAACACTGAAACCACCTGCCCTGGCCAGGTACCACAGTAACTATTTGCATGAGCTGTTTTACAACAGGAGGTCCTGGTAAGGAACACTGGAACCAATAAGCCACCACCAACAGGGAGAGTTCAGGGAATGTAAAAAAGTGACACCAGGTGTCCAACCACCTCCCAGAATCCTCCTCACTGGCATCCATCTTGGCTGAACAAGGTCTGCACCACCAGGAAGGACTCTGAGTCAGAATGATTGGATAAAGACAACCATAGCTAATCCCCTCACCATAAAACTCCAGACTGCAATGCACATGGCAGAGCAGTTCTCCCGGGTTCCCTTACCCTACTGCTCTCTGACCCAGAGGCCCTCCCCAATAAAATCTCTTGCTTCGCCAGCACAAGTGTCTCCTCGAACAATTCACTTCCCAGTGTTAGACAGAGCCCACTTTCAGGCCCTGGAGGGAGTCCCCCTTCCTGCAACAGCTTCTCCCGTCACCTCCCAGGGTTCCTTGAGATATTTCTTGGGCTGGAAATTCTAAAAATCCCCACGGAATAAAACATAACTCAACTTCTGAGTTGTACTTTTTTTAAGGCCACAAACAACATGAGCGGGAACCTGCTCACCTGGGGAGTTCCCATTCTGGTGGGGAAACGGGCAGCGGAGAACCGGGAACTCACTGCACTTACCTGACCGGGGTCCTTCAGGGCAGGCACCGCCATCAGAGCTTCTTGCCACAGAGTGGTGCGGCGACCGTCCACTGGTCAGGTCGGACTTGGCGCGGACACAACCTGCAGGCGGCAGTGTCCCCAGCTCTTACGTCGTCCCCTATGCAGAGCCTTCGAAGACGCCCCTTGCGCTCCCTCGGCTTGTAACAGGCCTCCCAACACCCACGCTCAGACCCTCCGTCCAGCTCCACAGACTTGCGAGCAATCAAAATGTCCGCCAGGAAGACACCGGGAGCCCCTCCCCGGAAACGCTCCCTTTCTGTATTTTCATTGGATAAACGTCGCTCCTCCATAGCGCAACATTTCTGGGTAATGTAGTTCTAAGTCCTCAAGGAAGAATGGTCCACACCTGAAACACTGGGGCAGAAAAAGCCAAGCTGAATTGCCAGGAGAGCTGAGAAGTGACCTCTAGGGCTGGAGAAGGAATTCATCCTTCCTAAGGGAGAGGGAGAACCATTAGAACATGTAGCCTTTTTGTCGTTAGGCACAGATTTGATTGTTGTTGAGACTGTGGATCTGGTCAGAAACTCTGCAGTGAGATCTGGGAGGGAGGTGAGGGGCCAAAGGCGGAAGTGGAGGTTTTGTTCATACTGCACAAGGTCTTAGACTTTGGCATTGGTGGGGAATAACCATGCGGAATCCGACCTGGTCGCCCTACTGTCGCCACTCAGGTCCCTGTGAAAGGTTGCTGCCGAACGATAAGACGCTGGGATTCTTGGCCTCTGGAAGAGACGAATTCAATCCGGGGCCAGATACGAGGCTAGATCGCTCAGAGCTTTTGTGTAATAAAATTTTATTAAAGTATGAAGGAGATAGAGAAAGCTTCTGACATAGGCGTCAGAAGGGGGCAGAAAGAGTACCCCCTTGCTAGTGTTCAGCTGGATGTTATATAGTCACTAGCAGTCTGTTAATTAAAAGAAAGGAATGTCTTAAAACTCAGGATGGCACGAGGTCCCTCATCCATAAGATGCATTTTGGGACTCTCTATTGCCTAAAAGAATACCCTAATTATCTGTGTAACTGAATAGAATCATAAATTCTATTATGCTTATTGCAGTATGACCACAAGTCTATTGATAATTGCCCATTGTTAACTACCTAGGCTTAAGGCATATGAATGACGGGTTAACTTTGATTACATCTTTCTTTTCCTTTGTTCAGACTAGTTTCAGGGAATTTGGGGAGGTGGGTTTGGGCACTTAGGCTATATAAGGTTTTCAGAAAAATTGGTCAGGGTCCTTGGCTAAACAGAGACTCTGCCGTGGGCCCGCTGGTGTAATAAACTGCACCCCACTACCTGCATTGTCCTTCTGAGTGAGTTTGTTTCCCGGAACTCGTGGCTACAACAATATATCTCAGCATGAGAAGACTATGTGTTGTTTTTGGATGGAGTAAACTAGTAGTCTATAGGTGTCCATATATCCAGTTATATCAAATACGACTGAGCAACTGAACTGAAGTCCATTTTCATATAACACTCTGTGGCTTCCTGGGTGATTTGAATACCTTATGTCAGGTGAGTGTATGCTCCTCGGTTCTGTCTCATCACAACAAAGATTTGGAGCGACGGACATCAAAGCCCTTGACGCATTACAGCTCTTGGGTCTTGGACAGACCGTGTTATAGCTCTCAGGTCTCAAACAGACTGAGTTATGGCTCTTAGAGAAAGCAGTGTTACAGCTCTATTTTATTTACAAGATAGCAGGAGAATCCATCCTCGAAGTGTGAGGGCAAGCAAACCTAAAGAAGAGAGTGGAGGAGCGCGCCAGCCAGCGCAGGGTGGGGTGGTGAGGGAGTTTTTCCTTCCCCCTGGGCCTGCCCTATGCAAAATGGGCTTAGGCAGGAGTGCTGTTTCTTCTACCTGAGGTCTTCACTCTCGGGCCTTCCTTTGACCTTCCTTTGTTCTATTTTCACGGGCTTTTCCCTTCCTTGTCTTTTAGCCACCGCCATTTTGGACTCCTGTTTCCTATTCTAACTACCTAACACCTTATAATTTTTAAAACTCCTAATTGCTTTCTCTCTTCCTTTTTATTATTTTTCTCAATTGTCCCTCTGCCTCCACAGAGGATTGGTTCCAGGAGCCCCTGCCTATACTGAAATCATTGGATGCTAAAGTCCCATAGTCAGCTCTCTGATTCTGAAGTTTCTGCATTTATGATTCTTCCAAGTATAGATCCTATAGTCATCTGTGTTTATTGAAAAATATCCATGTTAAAAAAAATCCATATATGAGTGAACCCAAGCTGTTCTAACCCATTATTAGATCCAGGATTAACTGTACTGTATGATTATTCTAACATGTTGAATATTTAAAATAATATCAACAACGCCAAACTCAGATACAGACTAACAATTGATGCTTGCCAAAGAGGGGGGAGGTTCATTGATAAAATAAGTGAAGGGTGTCAGAAGTGATAGATTTCTACTTATAAGATGATTGAATTTTTTAATGTAATGCACAGCATGATGACTCATTAACAAAACTGTATCTTATATTTAATTAATTATTTATTTATTTAGATGAGTCGCTTGTGGGATCTAGTTCCCTGACAAAGGATAGAAACCTCATCCTCTGTAGTGTAAGTGTAGAGTCCTAACCACTGGACCCCCAAGAAAGTCCAAAAACTATACTGTATATTCAGAAGTTTCTAAGAGAGTGGTTCTTAAAAGTTCTCATCATCAGAAAAAAATTGTAACTCTGTTAACTAAACTTAATTTGTTAGTTAGTGCAGTGTATATGTGGTACTTAGTAGCTCAGTTGTATCCAACTCTGTGACCCGAAGGACAGTAACCTGCCAGGCTCCTCTGTCCATGGAATTCTCCAGGCAAGAATACTGGAGTGGGTAGCCATTCCCTTCTCCAGTAGATCTTCCTGACTCAGGGATTGAACCCCGGTCTCTTGCATTGCAGGCAGATTCTCTACCATATGAGCCACCAGGGAAACCAATATCAGATCATGTTATACAGTTTAAAGAAATAGAGTGTTCCACTGCAGTTATATGTCAGTGAAATTTTTTAATTCTCTGATGCTATTACTTTCTCTATGAAACCCAGATTTTTTTTAAGTATTTATTTTTATTTATTTTGGATGCACAGGGTCTTAGTTGCAATATGTGGGATCTAGTTCCCTGACCAGGGATTGACCCCAGGCCCCCTGCTTTGGGAGCATGGAGTTTTAGCTACTGGACCATCAGGGAATTCTGTAACCCAAATTTTTAATTGATATCATTTTTCATCTGTCTAAAGAATTTCCTTTACTATATTCCCACAATTTTTCTGTATCTAAGAAAGTATTTCACCATCACTCTTAAAGATTAATGCTACCAAAAAAAAAAATAGATTAATGTTATGGATATTAAACTCTAGATTGGGGATGTCCACCCTCCCCAAATCCCATCATAATCACCACACCCACTGCACTTTAAATATTTTAACTCCACTCCATTCTTATTTGCCTGATTTCTGAGGAGAATTCAAATATAATTGTTTTTTTTTGCTTCTCTATGAATAAGGCATTTATTCCTGTGGCTTCTTTGAGGATTCTTTTTTTTTTCCCTGCATTTGAATGTGATATACCTACCTGTAGGTTTTTTTAAAATTCAATCTGTCTGATAGTTTGTGAGATTTGTGGATCTATAGGTTGGCATCTAACATTAATTTGATTGAAGTTTCTCCATCATTATTGCCTCAAGAATTTCTTCTGTTATTTTTTCTTTTTCTCTTTGCCATGTTTCCATATGTGTATGTTAAACCTTTTGCAGTTTTCCCACAGGTCTTGAATGTTCCGGTGTTTTCCATTTTATTTTATGTCATTTCTTGTTTGCTTTTTAGTTTTGGAAGTTTACATTAAGAGAACATCAAGCTTAAACATCCTTTCCTCAGTTGTGTTCAGCCTGTGAATAATATGTGCATCACAGTCATTCTTCATTTCAGTTACAGTGTACTTGACTGTAGCTTTTTTTTTTTTTGGTCCTCTGTTAGAATTCTCATTTCTCAAGTTACATTGTCCTTCTGGTATTGTATGCTGTTTTCTTTATTCTTTAGCAGAGGTTAATTAGCTTATTCATAATTATTTTATATTTCCAATGTGATCATCTTAACATCCATGTGATATCTGATTCTGGTTGTGAATCTTTATCTCTTCAAACTCTGTTTCGTGGGACACTGCAGTTATTCAGTAGGCTCCATAGTTGCAAAAGTGTTAGATAAATTAGACTCTGTAGGTATAATTATTAATACGTTTTGGTGAAGATAGAGTCCTAAAATTCCTAAATTCTATCCACTGTCCATCCTTTTCCCTGGATCCACTGGATTTTTTTTAAATGTAATATTTAAATGTCATATATTGTGTACTGAGTTCCTCTGGGCCAGTGTTACCATTCACCCATCCTAACTCAGTTAGAGGTTGTATAGTTTGTGTCCCATGTAGTCTCTCAGCTTGCAATGGAGAATCCTTGGGGCTTTATGGTATGGACATCACTCTGGTCTCAACATAAAGTGCTCAGAGGTACCCTGGGGAAATGAACGGCAGCTGGGTGAGGGCTTGATATCAGGTCTGTGTTCAAGTCATACCAGAAAGAATGACTTTCTTCCTTCGGACAAGTGTCATGGTGCCATTGTCAGTGGCTACAAATCACTTCTCTCATCTTTGTTTATTCTTGACCTTTTGTCAATTTGTTATTTCTACTGCTTCCCAGTCTTAACCTCACTGCAGCCTACGATTCCTGCAACTGCTTCCTCAATTTGACTCCAAGCCTATTTCTGAACATACTCCTGGGCAGTTGTTCTTCCACGTGTCTGACATGGACTTCTGATGTCATCCTTTCCTCCAAAAAAGTCAACAAGGACTTCTCTACCACTTATTTGTTTTCAGATTCTTGGCATGGAGTCCAGGATAAGGAGACACTTTTGGAACAGAGTGAATTGCAGAAGGAGTCTCACAGATGAGGACATCCAGCACAGGTTTGTCTCCTGAGAAGGTCCAGCTGTGTAAGATGTGCATCTAGTCTTGAGAGACATTTTACATTTGGCTGAAGAACAAGGAACAAACAGCAGGCAGAAAACATGTGTATGTGGGTCATGTGGAAAATAATTCTGTTTCACTGCCAACATTCAGCACCACCAGAAGCAGCATGTTGGGGAGAAATCCTGCCAATATGATATGGGCAGACCCACGTTAAAAAATTTCATTTATTTATTTGGCTG